CCCCCCCCCCCCCCCCCCCCCGCACCAGATGGGGCATTGTCAGGAAGTAATGAGGGGAAAACACCTGCTTCTCCAGCGAACTCCACTCCTTCATTTTCAGCCATTTGACACAACATATGCAGGATGCACATACAAAACCAAGTGACCGTGACGAGAACAGCAGTGGGCGATGGCTACAAATATCTAGCACTTTGTTGCATTAGTCAACGAGGTGACATGTCTGGTATAATTCACCTTTACTTGTAGATCAGTGTACCGAGGGCTGTCAGGACATTTGCCTGCCTGATTAATTGACACCGGTGTTGCCATGTCACAGATCTGCATCCTGCCTGGACTTTACGCTAATATCTTTGGCTGCTCTCTGTATTCTCTGCACAGATCCTGCCTCGCCCTAAGCCGTTGTCCGGTGGTTTATCCTCGAGGCACTATATCAAGGTCAAAATGTCTCTGTAAACTACACTTTTCTCCCTCCCAACCAGAACCTTGTACCTCTGGGACAGCGCCACTGTGTGAAACTCCTGATACATAATCTTGTCTTTTCTGGCCAACCAGTTGAAGCCCCAGGACCTACGCCCACAAGGGAGCACACAGCGTTTCACTCATGACTGACTCAAAGGCCAAAACGAGATGGTGCTCGCTGGCATTTCACATGCAGGAGGGCATTTCAAATTTACAACATTGTATTTTTTCCAACAGAGTGTGAAGATTTTGTGAGAAGTCTTTCTGTTTTGGTTAAAAAAAAAAAATCACCCCATCTGTTTTCCTCTTTATTCCTGGGCTTGTTGAAGACATAAAATCAGCAGACGTTTGTGGAGTTGGAAAAAGAAAAACAGAGTCTGTAAAAATTCCTGACAAAGAGTGGCTGCAGCAGAGCCGAGCTGTACAGGGGCTTGAATAATCAGTTTAATAACATTATCCTGGCTGTGCTCTGTGGCGCATGTATCCGTTAATGGAGTGTCATTGTTAAACTGCCGCTTCACCCATTATTAACGACGGCCTACGGTCAACCACACACCGATAATAAAACCACATAAAGCCCAACATAACTTCAACAGACAAGCGTAATGGAATTATTTGCATTATGAGCACGGTTATGGTAATAAGCGATGGTGCTGTGGCACAGCATTAAGGGTTACAAGGCAACAGAGGAGAAAATTAAAAAGATGAAGTTGTAGTCTATGATGGTTAGTTTGGCGGGGAATCGGAATCGGCTAAATTGAGGTACTACCGGAGGCTAACCCTGCCTATTCTTATAATGGATGGGCAAAGTTTTAAAGTTACATGACTTTACTACTATTCTCACTGTGTTAAAGTGTGAGTTTTTAGTTCACGAGTATGTTTGTTAGCTGAACTGGCTGAGAATGGGTTTGTGCCTGCAGGCGGATTGGGAGAAACACAAGCATACACAGGCACAGTACTTTAAGTAAAGGTCACTGCTTCAGAGTAAGGGCTTACACACTGAAGGGGAAGGTTGGTAAACAAACTGATGCAAGCTTGAGAGGGCATTGGATGGAGAAGATGTTCTGCCACGCGAGCGTGCAGCTTTCACCACGTTGTCGATACTCGTCAACCTCTTTTGTAATGCTAAAATGGGACGAAATCAATGGCAAACACAGGCGGACAGCAAATAACATTTTCTGAAAGCCATTTAATATCAAAGAAATCCAGAGTACAGTAAATACAATAGTAGAGTGCAATGTGCCCGAGAGCTGTCTCAGTAAAAAGATTATGATAACCTTCTCACAGAAGCTGCTTCCTGCTTTGGAAAAAGAGGTTGAAAGGGAAACAAATCAACTAAATAAAAGCTTGTTCTATCAACCAAATGGCTCATTCATAATACACAGCTGAGCAATTATGTTTGCGACAGAAAAGAGAGAGAATTGCATATGGAATCTTTACAGCTCTTAACAGTACACAAGATTAATCCCCCATCATTTTAATAAGAATGGAGCTCACCGCACAGTGCAGAATAAATGAAAAGAAAATTGCCCACATGTCCAAGACGCACAACTTCAACCTACACACACAAGCAAAGCAGCATTCGTGCCTCTAAAGCAATCATTTGCCCTTAAGTTTATATGTTGTTTTTCTCACACCCAGCTTTGCTCTCCCTTATCTCCAAACATCCCTCTTTTTGTCCCCTTTCCTCCCCGTCTCCTGCCTCAATGTGACCACCCTGATACCTGCACATCCTCCCTCTTTAAGTATCCTCTCCATGCCATCCCTCATTTTCTGGTCACCCACTCCATCTTACTTGCCTCTTACTCACTCCCCCCCCCCCCCACCATCCCCCTCCTCATCCTTCCACCTGCCCGTGCAGTCAAACCAGAGGTTGTTTGTCTGCACAGGTGGAGGGCAGGGACTCCACACTGGCTTTGTAGATGGGCTTCTTCTGAGACCGGTCATCACTGGCGAGAGAAGAGAGAGAAGGAAAGACAGAGGAGCATTATTATCAGTATATCGACCTCCCAGCAGGCACTAGAAAATATATAAGTGAGGAAATTATAGACTAGGACCGAGCGATGTAGCCATGATGTGAAAGTCCATTTTTCTCTCTTTAGCTCTCTCTCTTTTTTATACGCTCATATACACATATGGCAAATGCTGCTATTTCTTCGAGGCCACCACAAAGACACAGAGATCATGTATAAAGCATGCACTCATGGAAATTGTGTCCTTTGAAAATTCTTTTTTTCAGCCCATATGGGAAAGAAGTCAATAAGGGAAGCAGCATGGGGTCATGGTGCACATTAACATGCTGTCAGCAATGGGTTTAATGGGACTTCGCTTCTGCTCTTTTCATCGCTGTCGCCTTTATATGTACTTTAAATACTATCACGGAATTGAAGCTGCTGCCATTAGCCCAGGCTCTCCACAAGCAGAAAGTGTGGAGAAACACGTGGGAGAGGAGGAGAGCATGAAAGAGATCAAGAACGGGGTCAAGTCTGTCAGAGCAGCGATAACGCCTTTCAAAACACATAAAAGCACACAGACACTAGTCTGCACATGTGCGAAAAGGTTTTCTGCAAGATCACTTGGCAATATTTAAGACGCATACACACAATGTGAAGTATACACCAAGGTGCACACTGGCACATGCGGCAAAATGCACACACTGTAACTGTAATGGCCTCGGTTCTATCGCATGAGACAGAATGAAATATTGCAGCAATAACCATAAACGTAATATAAAGTCAAACTGCGGGAGGAGAGACCGAGGCTGAGTTAGGGAAAATAGGAAGGTGAGTCTGGACGAAGCGCAGTTAAAAAAAAAATAAAAATCAAACACGCGCACACATTCCCTCGCATCCAGAGGCACTTTATCAATCAGATTTAGATTACGATTTAAAAGATCAGATCACAGGTAAAGAGAAAAGTGATTTCCTTTTATGAAAGAGGAGCAGACGCACACACACACACACACACACACTCAAACAGTTGTTTCTTACATGGGTCCCTTGCAGGTCTTGGCGCGCTTGGCCCTGCGGCACAGGAATACACTCATGGAGAGGATGAACACCAGGAGAGAGAGGGCCGCTGCCGAGGTCATCAACACGAGACGGCCATTACTAGACTCGTACCAGCGGGCATCCTCTGCGGGACAGATCAATCAGACATGAAGGCAAACATGCATCACACAGACTCTGAAATCAGCAAAACTACAAGTTTTTCCTGCCTCCAGGCAAAGCATCTAAAGGCAACCTTCTGTTTGTTTGTGGAAGAAAAGAGTGTCTGTGCAGAGCTCAGATGGCCATTCTGCCGCTCACTGCACAGATCTTCAAGAAGTCTGCTCTTTGCCATTTTAAAATGCCTAATTATCCCCAACAAAGTAAAAAATTAAGAATTATGGTTAAGAGGATTTGGAGCAGCGACAAACGCACGCTTTGCCTGTTCATATACAGTAGCCGTATTCCATATGTGAAGAGAATTTCTTGGCACCAGGACTGTTTGTTTAAGGTTTGCACTGCTATTGTAGTGCAAATTCAAAGCCACAGCAGTGACATGGAACATTTGCTCGCCATACCCCAACCATTATTCAAGCATCTAGAGAGTATTACTTTTTTTTTAATTACTACATTGTGCTTCAGAGAAAATACTGGAGAAACTGTGGAGCGCAGTGACCAATGAGACAATTGAAGAAGTAAAGAGATGACTCCACCATAATAAATAACATGCGTTGGCTTAATTGCATTTTTAGAGGTTGCATAATTTCAACGAATGAAATTTCAAGGCTTATGAATCTTACTGGGGGAGAGGATGGTGTTTAAAAACGGCATGGCATTAACACAGTGCAGTCATCTCACAGGTCAATGATGAAGATGATGAAGACAGATGAAGTGCCATAAATTGGATTATCTATAATGTTGTAATGAAATTCGTTCTCCACTTGAATACAATCATGAGAAATAAGACAGTTTGTCATTCATAAAGACAAAGACAAGCCTGCTCTCCGCAGACATCACTATGAAACACTACGATGCACTGTATACTTTCTCATGGTGTTAGAAAGACCCATGGGTGCATCTAAATCTCAGAAGATGTTGCAACATCAGTTGGAATAAGTAACAAAAAATGAAAGCAGCTGTGGTGGGCATCAGAGCGCCATCTAGTGGAGGAGCTTGAACATGGTTAGATCAAAATAAAAAATTTATTTTTTGCTAACATACAAATGCTGTTATTTTGACTTACCTTAGTTTATTGGTTATTTTGTTATTGTCCATTTGTGTTAATTTGCCTTTTAGTAATAGCCAATCCTCACTTATTTAGTTTTATTAATTCTGTTTTTGTATAATGTTGTTTTGTGTTGTTGAAATTTTCAAATTCAGTAAACGTCAAACTAGAACTCATCATTGTATTGACCTATTCCGTTTGAATAAGCCCCACACCGATCACGAGCCGTCATCAGGTGGAGACGTGTTTTGCCACTGTTAGCTCGCCAACGTTCCCTCGAAACGACAAAGTGATGTTAGACACAACCCTGCGCCAATAAAAGCTCCAAAGCAAGTAGTGAAGAAATAGGACTCTGAATAAATCACATTTGGATTCATAATGCCAGTGACGGGTGAGGGTAAGCAGTGTATTTTATTTTGGTCATTACAGCTGACGGTGACACAACACTAATTTACATCCCTGTTTATTTCATCTTGTATCATTATTATTATTTTTGTATTATGGTGATCCTCTGGAATTTCCTAACAATCACAAGTGGGCTTTAAGTTACAAAAGGTTGAGAAGCCCTTCTCTAGAGTGCACTTATGTTTGACTTGACATTTCTGTCAAAAGAAAAAGAAAATGAAAGGTCAGGTGATAATCACTGCTTATTTCACCGTTTAAATAATTATCCTTTAATCCTTAAAGTTGGTGCAGTTTAGTCATTGCCATTTATTTATTTAAAATGTATTAATGTCCTATGGTATCATCTTACCTATTTTCATTTGACATTTTAAAGGTAATTTCATTACGGGCTTCTTTGTCACCTTTTCTGTGTGAGGTGTTTTCAAAAATGTCCTCACCTCTCTCTACAGCATTACAGTCTTTTCTCTACTTTTCATTATCATTCTAGTGTGCAGATAAATTAAACCTTAACCCCGTAGGCTATTTCTTTAGAAATGTAAGGCTTTAAAGGTTTCACAAGCACTTTCGCAAAGGAGAACTTCTGCATAATGCTCCTGATGACGTAATGGCACACAAATCCCTGACCTTTTTTGGTCACATTTAAGCAGCTGATTGAAAAACGAAGTAGTGTTTTTTTGTTTTTGCTTAGAGGATGTTTAGAGAGGAATTACCCAGCATTTACAAAGAAAGACCAAAAGAAGAAGCGGGAAACGACCTTTCTACACTCAGTCAGTATAAAGGACAACAGGACTTTTCCAGTTGGATCTATAGTCTTTCCTTACTTGACAGCACAGTGATGCTGATGGTGCGTTTCTTGCTGAGTGACTCCACAGAGGGATGCTCGGCCATGCAAGTGTACTGTCCTTCATCCATCACTCTGATCTTCCTCAGCGTCAGCGTGGAGGAAGGCAGGATCCAGTCGTCACCCTGAAAGAGAAAGATGGAGACTTAGAAGAGAGCGTAAGAGAGTGCAACAAACAGAAAGCAGGGCGGAAAGTCAAAAAAAAAAAAAAAAATATTGGATGGATTGTTTGCAGCCCGAAGAGAATTGACAAACTCCTACAAATTAAAATTGTGCTGAGCTTAGAGCACAAGAAAGATGGAGAATAGACGATGCTAGTAGGCGACAGAGAGATACAGAGTTTCAGACAGACATGAGTGTATAAGTGGGAAAGAGAAAGAAAAGGAAGTAAAAGTGTTATTTTGGCGGATTTGTGTGTGAGTGATAGAGGGACAAAGAAAGAACGAAATAGAACACAAAATGGAGAAACAGAGAGACTGGCAACAACAGTGGGGCGCAGAGAGAAAGACTGCTGGTGCACAGCCACCAGAGAACAGTCCCCAAAGTCCTAAATGAAGTGTATTTACCTGAGTAGTAATCCCAACGAATGAACACACATCGACACAAGTCAATAACCCAGATAAAACCATCATCCGCAAAGAATGAAGCCACAACAACAGACTGTTAACACAACACGTAATGAGATGGCGAGGGAGCGGGATGAATTGTTGACACAGAAATAGCTGTACTATTATGAGATAGAGCTCGACATGGGAGGAAACAAATAATAGGCCAAACACAAGGATTGGAAAACAAACGAACACAGGGGATGAGGTAAAAAAAAACAAAAAAACAAAAAAAAGACATTACACCATGCAAATGATTTGGCTCCTGGGAGCTGCGGCTCCTGCCAAGAAAGTCCATTTCAATTTGAATGGATCTGAATTAAGAGGATTTCCCATAAAGGCCAGGTCTGGCCAAAGCAGCATTTTGTATGCAAATCCACTGCATGGCTTTCTAAGCAGTGGCCCATTTCTGCCTCTGTCCTGCTGTCATTACCGGGGGCCAATGTGCCCACGCCCGCTGTCTGTCAAAGTCGGCCGTTCTGATGCCGCCTTTCGCCCCATATCCACTCCTGTCATACATACAGTATCGGCTCACAGATAGAGAACAAACACAGCCACCGAACATCCCATCTCATCTTATCATTTCCTCGTCTCATTCCTCTCTTCCCCGGACCTTACCGTCACGCTGACAATAATTCTTCTTCTTCAAAGTGCTGTAGATTCCACAAATAATGACCAAAAAAAAAATCGAATAAACTCATATGAATATGTGGAGGACAAACAGTATTAGCAGCATACAATGTCCACTGAATTGGATTTGGACTTGTAAGCCCATTTAAAACCCGGATTAGCAGTAACCCTTTAACAAGCATATTAACCCTGAGCCCACTTATCAAAAAGAATAACGAAAGGGGGAACTTTCCAATTACGTGTGCCTGTTCCCAAGATATCGTCCTGGTAGTGGAGCTTCATTACACCGGTGGCTTGCTGGTTGTGGTAACGGTGATTTTGATTACATCTTGAAAGTGTAATACCATTTTCTCACCACAAGGGCACAGAGTATCTCCCAGCTCATCAGCGTCTTCTTACATGCCTATTGTCACTTTGGCATTTTACACAGAGATGTCTTAATTTCCCCCGGGTGAGCGTTTCTTAGCTCAGCGAAGGGTCCAGTTGAATAATTCAATCCTGGTTAACCAAACACTAAAAAAAAAAAAAATCATTAGAAATCTATACACATAATTGTTTTCAGGTTGACTGGCTCTTGTCTAGACCTCATTAAACTATTAATCCTCTGTAAGTGGGAAAGCCGCAATCCCCAGCGAGCGGTGGGCCTAAGCCAACCGGTCACTTAAATACAGAGCACTTCTTCAGAAGAGGGGATGGAAAGACGACAGCCGAGAGGGGAAACAAGTGGCTTGAGAAAAAACTCAGGGAGAGAAACGGTGTAAGAGGAGGAGAGAAAATTAGAAGAACGGTGTGAGCAAAGCCAAGAGAGAAAGAGGGAACTAGAAAGCCTGTTCTCATTCCTAGAGCGGCAAATACAGATGCTTTGTAGCGTCCTCTAAGAGTCGCACGACGCACCCTTTAGCGTCTGTATGAGACGCACCGCCATTATTTTAGACTTTTCGAAAAAATGCTCCGGGAGTGTGATGACGCTGTAGTCTAAAGACTGTCGGAAATAAGGGACACGACCGGCGTTTGTATCCCAAAGAGGTGTTGAGTCATTTTGAAGTAACATTAGTGATGTTTGTGACATCTTTTACATACTTATGTTACCTTCTTTACATTTTTTAATATACACAGCTAAGCCCAACCATCATGTTTATCCTCTGTGCCTTCGCTGTGTTGCCTGAACCTAAGCAACGGATTTTGCTTAAATCCACAACGTTAACCACGTGATCACTGGGACCGAGCTCTGGGCAACCCAGTGTGTTTAGAAAGTGACGCCTCAGGGTCTGACAAAGTCAGTACGGGACGAGTTGGGGGTGTCAGTACTACGCGACACACTAGGAATGAGAATGTGTTGGCCGAGATAGACTGGAACAAGACAGGAAAGAAATTAAGAGGTCACATCGACAGGGGAGGGAGGGAGCTGGAGAGGGAATGAAAAGTTTCCAAAAGCGTAATGAGGACACTGTCAACGTGCAGAATCCGGAGGCTTTCTCACGTCTTTATTCCAGAAGTAGAATGGCATCTCCGACGAGCTGGCGGAGCACCTCACCACCACATCATCCCCGAGTCGCACCTTCAGCTCCTGTGGGATGCTCAAGTAGCTGGTGTAGCCTTCCCTCGTCAGTGACAGCTCCCCCATGTCTAAAGCCCAGCGGGAATGAAGAACAACGATCGAGCGTTAATGAAGCAAGAAATGTCTCCAAGAGAACGTGACTGAACACATGTTTGCAGTGGTAGCAGCTGCTAAAACACTCGGATCTTTTAAGTATACAGGCTCAAGTTTGAATGCCTCCCAAAGGTACAGACTGTCTCAAGCGATCAATAATAATGATAATAGGCTTCATCTTATCGAAGTCTTTAGAGAGGCAGTGTTGTGAATAATGGCTCATCTTCCATCTCAATAGATGGCCCACGTCCATCGAGCTCCTGGCTTCCCCCCCCCCCCCCCCGCGTCTCCTTCGGTCCTTTAGTCCGTTCTAATCTTTGCCTCTTATTGATTCCTCCCATGAGGCTGAGGAGCCTATCAAACAGCATTACGGTCGATTTGATGGCCACTGAGAAGATAGAGGACACTGATAATCTGACTTGCAAGACATGGATGCCGTTTTATGCAAATATGTATCCCCACACTGAAAGCTTCAAACTTGAGCCCCACCCGGGAGAATGCTTTTTTTTGTTAGCCTGGAGTGCAGAGGGGGAAAAAAAAAAAAATAATGAAATAAAATGTCGTCAACCTATCATAGCAACACCGTGTTTGCACTGGATCTGTGCTTTTTGCAGTTATTTTGTTGTACACCTCTGCAGCTGCATTGCACAGATGTGTCTTGTCCTGTTAACTATTAATGTGTTTTTCTATCCCTCTCTGTGAAGAAAGCTGTATCCACAGTGTCTGAAAAATTGTCTCTCCCTCCTGCTGGTTGGAAATTGCAAAGCTTCAGACTTTCTTTGTTCCGTCTTCTCACCTAGACTGTTTACCGTTGTACAGTCACTTTTTTTATGCTTCCTTCTTTGTCAATAATGTCAGCAGTCTCGGTTATGCCACGCATTTCCTTATTGGAAAGTGAAACTCAGAAGCTGTGTATCTTATTTGTATATCACAATTTTACCTATCGTATTGTCTGATTCCTGCAGTAATCTCTTTTCCCTCTGCAGGGGACCGACAATTTAAAAAAAAAAAAAACATCTAAGGTTGCTTTATTTATCAAAAGGGAAATACAGTGTCACCGAGTCATTGTTCCACAGACAGCTCCCACCCATATCAACCCATGCACTCACAATGCACTTTGAAGTCCAGCAGCGGGGAGGAGATGTAGGACGTCTCGGTCACATTTTCGGCGTCGGTCACATTTTCGACGTCGGACACACAGCGGTAGGGCCCCTCGTAGAACCTTCCTGCGTGGGGGATGGACAGGACTAGACTGTCCGCAGTCCGCACGATCTGCATCGCATAGAAGCACCAAGATCGCTCCCAAACTGGACGCCAGCGCTGCATGTACTGAAGAAAGAACTTTGATTAAAGCTTGACATGGAAATATTTATAAGAATAGAATCACATGACGTTATACTGTGAGGAGTATTCCGATGGGTTATGTTTCATGTGTTGAGGCTTTTGTTCAATTCTCCTCCGTGTTGGACTACACAGCAGTCAGCTGCTCGACGGCATGATATTTGCATAGAGCAGTTGAATGCCCATGTAGGGCAAGTCATTGCAAATTCAGGCTATAAATGTTATGACATGGGTGACAATGTCCAGGGAGTATTCTTTTCTAATGTACAGTATCAGTATGTAAAAACAAAACATAATTAAGTGATTAATCTTTTGTTTCACGTTACATAATTCAAACGATAGGAATTAAACACTTGAGCACTCTGTCCTTTCTCATCAGCACTACAATGTTAAAAGCATAGTCAAATAATGGTGAGAACTTTTGAAATGTACCCACTTCTCTCCCTCCCACCCACCCATTTGTTCCCGCCGGGCTCACCTTGGAGAAGACCTCAAAGTGGACCTGGCTGATGTTGAGTTCAGAGTCCGAGGACAGACACTCCAGCGTGACGCTCTCTCCCTCCAGGACCGGCTGGGTCGGCCCTTTAATGAGCAAAGTGGCTGCATGTGGACAGAGATTACACATGCAGGTTATTGATCACAACATGAATAGGCAGGGTGCTCGCTGGGGAGCTCGCTGCTGTTCGGGGCAACACTTTCAAAACAACGGCTCCCTCTTCCTGACATTTGCTTCTGGCTCCTGTGGGGAAACTGCCAATACTCTGAAAGTCACCGTGGTCACATAACCAGCAACAGGTTCTGCTCCTTTACTTACGCTACAGTTGCAACAGAGGCTATTTGTCTTTGACGTCAGGCAAGAATTATTGCACAGCACAAACGGTTTCATTATTGTCACACATAAGCTGCGAGTGTTATATAGACGGGTCTCTGTATACAGTATGTATAAATAAAAACGTATTTAACTGTTGTTTTCGTCGTTCCCTTGATAATAACATCCACATTTCCTGCTTGAGTTGGAGTCTGGTAACCACCAGGGGAAACCCATCAGTGTGACAGAAGAGAAACTCGCGCGTTTCCTCGAGAGGACATACGCACTCAGAAACAGACAGGCGAGCAGACAAGCAAGCAGGAACACACACACAATAACAAAACAGAAACGGGATATATTTATGGGGAAGAAAAAAAAAGACCAGAATAACACTTGAAGATTTAACCAATCGCTAATTACAGAACAGCAATACAATTACAAGTTTTACGGTGACTGTAGCTATAAAATATAAAACAAATATTTACCAGAACTGCCATGAATCAGGGCGAACACTGCAGCAACTAGAAGTACTTTCATGACTGTGGAACCAAACAAAAAAACCTTTACAAGTTTAGAAAAAGGGTGCGCACTCCTGTCCAGTTTCTAATCTGAAATGAAAGTTTGCTCAGTATTTATCCATAACCAGCTGGAGGTGTGGCGTGTGTTTCCAGGAAGTAGGCTCATAGTCTGAAATCTGAACGCACAAAGAAAAACACATCCAAACCATTATACTGCCGACAATAAATTGCTCAATACGCCTTATTATATTTCTGGTGTTTTCTTTTCTGAGGAGCATACAAGCCTGAATTGTTGTTTATGTGAACTGTAAAGAAAGAAACTGGCTGCTGCTGTATAATCAAATTCACCGTCAGTGCGTCATTAGTCTCTGTGGCGAATCGGGCCTATCGGGTTTTCAGTCTGAGCTTGTTGTTGAGGGCAATGTTTTTTCTGAGGAAGTCCAACAGAATATGAAAGAAGTCTTATGTTACCGAAGAGCTTCGCAAAATCCCCGTGTGATATGTAATGCCAAACAAGCAAACACGTTAGGCTTCATTTACTGGGACCTTTGATACATTGGCTGTTAAGAGACGGACAGGACGCGTAATCGAAAGCGATATTAAAGAGCGTCTCAGAGAGCATTTGCTGTAGGCTACTCGGATTTAAAACGCAAAGTCATCTTTAGACTCGTGAGTGACATGTACCTCGAAGATATTAGTTGTTTCGCATTCAGTTAGATGTGGGCATATCTATTGCATCCACCCCAGGCCTATACAATAGTATTGTTGAAATTAGAATATTTGGGGGAAAAAACAATAATAATATCTTTTGAAATGCCTCGGTTTCATTGTGTAAAATATTTAGGGATTTATGTATACAAATACTTAAACTATATTTAACCATTAGCTGCAAGCTCAAATTAAGGACCCCTCTATTCTTGGGAGAGTAGTCTTTCAAAGGCCGAACCTCTATGTCTGTACTATTATCTCCTTATGTAAATGCACATCAAGGATATTTACTACTTTCTATGAATTTATTTGGAAGAATAAACCACATTGATTAAAAATTTAAATATTTAAAAAAATCTTACATCGCTCTAAAGGTGGTTTGGAAGTATTTCACTTTCATTTTTTGTTTTGCCAAAACTGGCTGGAAGCTTGTCTTACTGAGCACGATTTCTTATTATATGTCATATAATATAATAATATATATCTAATAATACATATTCATAAATGTTGGTAGTTTAAAGTTTGTGTTGCATTGTGATTAGTTACCAGAAAGGAATATGCATATTGGTTTTTCATTTAATTTGTTGAACCATGATTTAGTTCCACATAACATCCAGCAGGTGGCGGGGTAGAGGCGATATGTTGCCACCGGAAATAGACCGAAAGAAAGCGGAAGTAGTGAAAGATAACCTCTCTAATTTTTCGAACTGTGCCGAAGCACTCTGAGGGAATCTGTTGGCATTAAACTCACTCATTGTCGCACCGACGCCGAAACATGGACAGATAGTGTTTGTTTTATCGGGTAAGTTGTAAATGTAACTCGTGATTTCGGGATGTACCGTTGTACGAAGCCGTGGTGTTAGATTAGCAGCTAATGTTAGCCTGTTTGGCTAAATTCAAAGCTTGATAGCTGCTATTGTTTTTAGCATATTACGTTACGTTAGCGTCGGCTTTTACATGTTTGTTTCAGTTGTTTAAGCTGCACAGTCGCTGAACAGTTTCCTGTCTGATCTTATTATTTTACTAGTGTGGTGTTACCTTTCTAAATCTGTTAATATTTTTTAATAACGTTAGATCCTACAGCGTTTTACGGACAAGTTGGTGCATCTTGTCGTCAGGCAAAACAGAAAATGAAAGCAGAGTAAAATAAACAAATCGAGCAGAGAATACAGCACACATAAAACATAAGGCTTTTTGGTACAGATTCTCCAAGCAGGTTAAGCATGTTTATCAACCTATTAGCTTCTGTAACTAGTTAACCCGACTGTTTTCTCCAGATTTACGGAGGTGGTCCCTGCAAACGATAATCTATCACATCTGTGCCCATCTTGGACTGTCGCTCCGGACTCTCACACAGACGAACAGTTTTGCTCACTGTTAAAAAAAACAAAAAACCCCACCAGAGTCCCTCCTCTCCTCCTGTGGCCACCAGCATGGCTAACAGCATCCCGCCAGCAGTAAAGGTTACTGGGACCCCTGGCCCTGCTGGCAGAAGTAGTCCGGAGGGATCTCAGGTCAGTGTTTTTTGTTAATTCATCAAACCCAAAGACGTTAGAGACATTATTCGACTAAAGGAAAGAGGACACGGCATTGGCACAGCTGTACCCATTCTGTAACTCAATGAATGGATACATTTGCTTTCTCTCCAGGTGCTCAGTAAGAAGAAGCTGCAGGACCTGGTGAGAGAGATCGACCCGAATGAGCAGCTGGATGAGGATGTTGAGGAGGTCTGTCACCGGTTTTGATTTCAGTTCAAAATAAACTCCCATTTCACAAGTGTAGACATTAGAGATGAGCTACAAAACGCAGTATTAAATTATTGAACACCATAGTATTCATCAGCTCAGACATTTAATCAACGCTAATGATTTAGTGTAATTCAGTATCGCACTGCAGCATCTCCTCTCTGTGTCGGGTCTGAGCCCACACACACACACACAAACACTCTCTTGTAAGCTTGTCTGCTGGCTGAGACAAACCAGCCCCTATTCTCTCCAGCAGCAGTACTTACAAAGAGTGATTGACATCAGCAAAGGAAGGACTGACGCTTACCACCGTCTGTATTCTTCATTCTTTACAAACTTCACATTTCAGTTACTTTGCCGTTTTAAAATTACTTTAAAATTATGAATAAATTCTAATCCTGCTCTGAATTTATTCCTTTATTACATTATATATTGAAAAGCAGTTATTTAGTGATGAAACCCATCCCTGGTAAACGTAAGCAGCAGTGGAATGTTCGGTGCGAATACTACTTGCATCTTGCAGATTCTCGTTGCTCTATAGTTCCCCAACCGACGGCACACATCCATCATGTGGAAATGTTATTCTGCTGAAAGCCTGGCTGAATGAAAAATGGTGTCAGCAGCAGAAAATATGAGGGATTTGTCCAGCCGCGGTGGAATGTTGCTTTACTGAGCATGATTAATGGTTCTCACACTGCCTGTCTCTTCTCAGATGCTGCTGCAAATTGCAGATGACTTTATTGAGAGTGTAGTGACAGCGGCCTGTCAGCTGGCTCGCCATCGCAAGTCCAACACCCTGGAGGTGAAGGATGTTCAATTACATCTTGGTAAGTTGCTTCTTTTTTTTTTGGCAGCGTTGCAAAACCCAATATTGTCACGAGGGTGGGTTCAAGTATCCGTGATATGATGGTCAGCCTGTAATGACTGGTGGATAATTGCTTTCAAAACGCTTGCCTCAGGTCCTCTTAATTATTCCCCACATATCATGTGTGACTCATTCATTTCTTAACCCAAAATGTAATATCTTTATTTTGTAGCCATAATGACGGTTACTTCTCCGCCGAGGACGTTGTGTTTTCCGTTTGTTTGTCGGCAGTAGTATGGGGGGAAAAACTACTCGCCCGCTGTTCAATAAACGTTGTGCGAGAGCTGTAGCGTGTAGAGCAGATCCGAGTCACGTGAATTATTTTTCGTTAAGATAACATTGCGAGATAAGGCATGTGGCCTTTGGTGGGGGTCTGCGCTCCGAGTGCCCTTTCTAGTTGGAAATTAGATCTCGGGTGTAAATGCTATGTCACATTTCCTCATTGTACTGTAGTTATATTGTGTTGGAAGTCCTGAGTAGTTCATACAGCGTCCTGCTGATTGCTTTTCTCAGAGCGCCAGTGGAACATGTGGATTCCTGGTTACGGCTCCGATGAGATCCGGCCGTTCAAGAAGGCTTGCACCACAGAGGCTCACAAACAGGTAAGCAATACATGTTTCTGTTGGACGTACTAGAATATTCCATGTCGTGGTACATCTAGAGAAAACATGATAACTGTCAAAATGATTGATATTGTAATAAACGTATACAGTGTATCTAACTGTTTATTTGGTTTCCTTACAGAGAATGGCGCTGATCCGCAAGACAACCAAAAAGTAGAGAGACTGTACACCAATATGTTGTACCCACTCTGTGTATCGTCTTCTTTCTTTTTGATCAATGAGGAAGAGAGAGAGATGGTTTTGGTGTTTAGTTTTTCATAGTGTCATTGTCACGTCTCCCTAACTTTTGAGTGTTTTGCCAGCACCATAGCACAATAATGTAATTGGTGTCTCTGATTCTGTTTTGTTGCTATTGAGTTAAGTCTGGTACAACTCCGCATTTTTGTCAATAAACATTTACTGGAATACTTTGTTTGGATGATGTGACCACGGCTGTATCTGATTTGCCTTTTGAGACTCTAGAGCGTTTAGAAGCGAATGTTAAAAGTTGTGTATGGTGTTATGTTACCAGTAGTAGGTCATTATAACTTTTGAGTATGTAAGAGATCATAGCTCCACTGTTTACTCACTCCACTCACGCTATTTATACTTTTTGTTTTGTTAGAGGGTCCATAATACCAAATTCCTACTGCAAATGGTGGCTACAAACACAGTAAATTCTCTGTTATTAGACATGTTTATGCTGTTGTGAATTGTTACTGATTGTAATAGGGTTTATTACTTTAACATTTATTTGAACTCTCCATGTAAATTGTATTTTTACTTTCAGCAAATATCAAAATGATGGAAGAAATGGTGCTCAGATGTTGACTTTTCACAATGTCAGATTCAAAAATAAATGACTGATCTGTTATCAAAAAAGAAGATATTTTGCAGTCTGGCATCTCTTGCTAGACTCAACTTAAAGTTAACTGCAGTGTCTTTACGCACAGGAAGGGGTTACATTTGAGTTAAGGGAAGGGCTTCTGTAACGTGTAAAATCTGTTCACCAAGGACACAAACCAGTATACAGCCACACTGCTTCAACCTGTCAGTGATCATCTTCAATCGGAGTCTTTTAGTCACAAGATAAATAGTTTTTTGGTTGCCGAAACACAGGAGGCTGTTTATCAGGCATGGACAGTAATTGCAACATTTCAAAAGAACAATATCCAAATGCACTCGAGGTGTTTCATTTAATTAATTTCAACCACAGCACCTGAAAACAATCGCTCACTCTAAGCATGCTGTGCAATTATCGGTGATGCAACAAAGCTTTTTCCAGACAACTACTTAAGCCCAAAGCATTAATTCCCATCGTCATAGAGGGGACAATTATAAACTCAACCAGGGCACTCTGCACCGTAACTGCTGCCAATCAGAACGAGCAAAACAGACAATATCACAGATGTGTGTGCAGAAGATAAAGCAGAATATCTTGTTCAGTCGGCCTAGCGTCTCACAAAAGGTAGTCTTAAGAGAAGCATTTATAGAGCTAATATTTACCATGTTCAACATCCTCAAACCTTAGTTTAGTGGCATTAGTTTTCGTAAACCAAAGCATTCATCAGGTCATTGAAATGACCCGATGAACACCTTTAGCAAATTCCACAGCAGTCTATGCAATAGTTGTCACCTGTCAAACCTGTCAATCTGCTGGTGGTGCTAGATGAACAGTCAGGGGATCACCAAACTCCGGATGAATTCATCCTCAAGGGACCACCAATGTCTGCAAAATGTCATCATGGCAATCCATCAAATAGTTTGAAGGTTCTATAGGTACTTCAGTCTGGACCAAAGAGGCGATAACCAACATTGCCACGCTGCCATCATGGCAAAATATCAGTTACAAACACCTTTATTTCTAAAGTTAATTTTTAAGCCATTTCAGGAATGTCAAAGCTTTGTACATACAAATACACAAAATGTTTCCTCAAATCAGTCTGACATTACTAAATGGTTAAGATTGTATCTTCGCAGCAAAGGTGCAAAAACATTTTTTCACGATGGTCACGTTATTACAGTAAACGTCCACAACCGCTTCTAGGTTCTACAGTAACATGAGTGCACATGGGTGATCGCTGCCAGCCCACAGTTTAAGGACAACACTTCTTGGGTGCTGTGTTGGGCTGAGCCAGGCTGGCTCTCTGCAACTGCAGCGCCCGTGGTGCAGCGCACTTCACTCCATCCCAGCCCTCCTGCAGCTCCACCTCTCCGCTCAACAGACCCTGGTAGATCCGCCGAGTGAGCAGCTCAAAGGCCTCCCTCACGTTCTGACCCGTCTTGGCAGAGGCCTCCACGTAGGGCATCCCGAGCTGCCCGGCCAGTTTCTCAGCCTCCTCCAGACTCACCACCCTCTCCCGCTGATCACCACGGTCGCTCTTTTGCCCCACCAGGACGAACAGCACCTTCTGCGGCTGCACTCGCTCGCACACCTCGGCATGCCACTCCTTAATATGGTCAAAGGAGGCTTGGTTGGTCATGTCGAACACCAGCAGACCTCCGACTGAGTTGCGGTAATAAGAACGGGTCACTGACCTGAGGAAGGAAGAGACACACGGGGGAAACATGAGGAAAAACAGGTTTGAATTCCACCACCATGAAAACCTCACAAAGCCCTCACTGTGCAGAGTTCAGACTTTGTTACCAATGAATTTCCTGTTCCAGTAAGCAAATAATCAGCCGATTCTCTGCACTGTTTGAAGTGAGCTTTTTTTTTTTAGATAAGCTGATTGACAAAGGGTCTGTTCTCTTTGTAAAGAATTGATCATCACTGTCTCCCCCCCTCACCCCCTCACCCTAATCATGAAACTGTGGAGAGGCATGTGGTTCCCCCATGAGACACTTAATGTTTAAAAGCAAAGGAAAGGCACGGCGAACGGTCCTCCCAGCAGCTACTGGGTAAAAACGGACTTCTTCAATCCTTCTTAATGCAAACAAACCTGAGTTTTTTTTTTAGCTGACTCGGGTAGGATTAGCAGGCTACAGATATCGTGCAGAGAGGAGCATAGTTTGCAATTAGCTACAGTTCATTCATCTGGAGAAGAGATATAATGAATTTGAAGACAGAATGACACGTTACTGCTTCTTTTCTTGATAAATATGCTGCTCATGAAGAAGAATGCCCTCTTAAAGATCTGCCTTTTCCACTTTAAGCATTACACATACTGCCCCTCTGTGAGCGTTGCACACCGATCCTGTGAGGGTGACAGAGTGTACACACAGTCATAGCTGAAAGCAAACATTGATCAATCACTCCGGTGTGAATGGAATAACCAGTGATAGTTTGTTTAGCATATTTGCATGAACAAGAGTCATTTTTGGGAATATGCATAATTACTGCGTTACACAAAGAGGCATAGTGCGACGAGGTCTGGTGCATCCTCACCTGAACCTCTCCTGTCCAGCTGTGTCCCAGAACTGAAGCTTGACACGGACCCCCGGCTCCACCTCCAGGAAGTGGACATAGAAGTCTACTCCCACCGTCTGGTTGATGGACTCCAGGAACAGGTCTTCAGTGTAGCGCTTCAGCAAGGAAGACTTGCCCACTGTGGAGTCCCCCAGCATGATGATCCTGAACTGGTACTGCCACAAAGTCAGGTCCATTGTTGCTGGTTGTGGAAAAGAGGCATGACTGTAAATACAGCTTGTAGGGATACAGAAGCATATAGAAGTTGTGGGTATGACAAAAACAAAAAAAACAAGATGTACACTGCAGGAATAATGAAATATATATATATATATATATATTGAACAGCCTAGATGGTACCATGGGGATAGAGAAAAAGATAAAAAAGGAGATGAAACCTGTAAGAGACTAGCAATCCCACATCAGCTTCCCACCAGTTGCTTCCCTATCTTTGACACTCCAAATGTTGAGAAACAACCACAGCAGCCACTCCTTATAAATCTCACTATCAGTAGAGCAGGCAGTGTTGACAGTCATCACAAATTCCTATGCAGCAGATGATTGCATCACAAGTCCCTCAGCCCCATTCCCACGGTGGCTCATCAAAACTTCTTCAAAAGCAGGCATCTTGAGAAATATGTCCCACAAAGTAGATCCCAGTACAGCTGCATTTGTGATCTTAACTGCTACTGTAGGCATGTGCATGAGTGTGCTGTGCAGGGGTGTGGACTTCTGAAGTTTGCCTGTTGATACTTGACAAAAGGCGGGGCAGCATAGCGACACGGGGAGGGCTGTTGTGGAATGGGAGGTCCAGATGCACAAGGAAAGGGGGGCATTATGAGGAAGTGGTGGTTGCATTTAGTACCATATCAAGGCAAACCATGTAGTTTCCTGCTGTCGCCAGCTCGTAACTGCATGTCATCATTGACAATCGTAGACGGTGAGGATGAGTGTGGGCTACTGGTTTCCCCACACGATTTGCAGCAATTGTTATCACTTTATGGTCTCGTATGTACAGTGTACACCGCCTCCTAAAAAGGGAAGTTAAAGACAATACAGTTCTACATTCAATGGGGAAACAGGAGGAACCGCTCAGGATATCCAATTCCTTTTTCTACAATAGGGAGGTTTAACTTTAGTTTTAGAAAGGACTACAGGTCTACTTTCTTTAATCTAGTCATGCAGCTATTGCACATAGGGCACAACCTGTGGTCCAAATATAAACATTAGAGAATAAAAAAAAAATATATATATATATATATATATATATATATATATATATATATCCCCCAAATTGACTAGAGAGCAACTACATTATTTAACTGTTCTGGGTCTGTTAAAACCGCAGCTGAAATCTTTTCATATTGTGGGATGTAATGAATAAGACAGCCTCCAGTGACTGCTAGAGCACTTAAGACTTTTAATTTTGTACATAACTACAGTAAACAGACTCGTGGTTTCAAGCGCTCCCACTTTCAAACACTGAAAATAGTGCCATCAGTGAAGGCAAAGCTGTTTAATCCTCTTTAAGACGTGCGGGAGTGTTAATGTTAACGCATGTCCTTTTATAGTGACTGGTAAAAAGCAGAACATACGCAGATTCTCAGGTCCACCAGAATAAAGGCCAGATTGTCAAGAGGAATATATTATAAGTATATTTATTCAGAGTGTACACATATCGCATCACACATGCAACTTCATATATACTTCTCGTTTCTCATATATTTGGGTCACCAGCAGATAAATGAAGGCATAACTATTCAGGTGCACTCAATGTAAGAAGACTCAAAGTGAAAATGTAATCTGAAAGCTTGAAGCTCATCATCTACAGTTAGCTGCTCCGGTTCCGAGATCAAATCTTTGGTTTTCTTCTTTCACTTTTAAGACATCAGCTTTCATATGCCAAGCTTTCTTTTTCAGTTCATATGTTATCTGAAGTGCCACTGACGACTCGTCAGATGACTGCATCTGTATAGTTCATGTTAGGAAGTTCTGGGTCAGATAGTACAGTAAAAGGCAATGGAGTTTAAAATCATGTTTGTCGACGTAAGCAGGTAAAAAGGTCTCGACCATAAAAACCATGGAAGCAGAACTGGTGAGTTCAGGTTTAAGGCATAAAAACACCCCAAAGTGCAAAATCCATTACAACTTTCATGAAGAAATAAAACTAGTGTCCTTGGGATATTGGCTGATGCCTATACCATCAACCTCATTATGACAAACAATATTCATATATATATATATATATATATACACACACACCAGTCACCAAAACACAACTTTGTGGTCCAGTTTAATATCATACTCTTGGGGTTCTGCTCGTACACTCCATGTAATAGAGTGCTAGAGTATTCAAAAACAGAAAGCATGTAGCTTACTCACTTTTCTGTAGTAACCGCTAATGAGAGTTATGATTTGTAAGCTGGTATTAAACCTAAAAAAGGAGAAAAACATCAACACATTAAATTGTAAAACATGCATTAACCAAGCTAATGATATCTAACCGTCATTATAAACAGGCAAGATTCTGGCAATCCAAGTCACAAACAACTGTCCCAAGTAATAATGTCTCATGTTTTCATACATTAGATTTGAATTTGCAGAGGAGTTGCCCCAAAAACAAACCCGATATGCAGACCCTGACATTTTGACACTGCTGCAAACTAATCTGCATATTCTGAGCGTCTTCTATACTTCACTGCAAAACACAGCATCCATATCTCCTCTCGTGTTCGCACAAGCATCATGATCTTAAAGTTGCACAAGCCTCTGTACCGACAGACTGATGATTTACTGTCCAAGTCTCACTCTATTCTGTTTGTTTTCATTCCTACATAAACACTTTGTCCCAGCTTCTCCTTAATGCAGCAACTCAAAGCCCCACAGAGTTCACAGCAAGACATCCCTTCACCTTTATACAATCAGTGAATACAGAGTTTAAATTGTAACAACTTGTTGTATACTGAAGAATGTAAAAACCCTTTGTTGCATCAGTTAAGAGTAGACCTCCTGCCTTTTTTTTCTGGGCCTTGCATTTATCTGCACGAGTGACACACAAACACAACGACTACGTGGGCTTTAGTCTCAGGACAAAGGGGGGAACTTCAGCTCAGACATGTCTTCTTCAGGAGAACTGCTGCCACTGCGGTCGCTGTAAGTGTCCCTGGAATATAGGATGAATACATCAAATGACTTTTACAGCAGGAATGCCAGACAGGGATTGCTTTATTGCGATTGCAGATGCAATGATGATATAGTGTCACTGTAAACTCACTGTAAGAGAGTCGATTATGACACTGAATAAAAATGTGCTTGTAAACGTCCATTCGGGTTGACGAGTCAATTCCATTTCAGTAAATTCAATGACACGTAAAAATGCCAACCATTTTTTGTTTTTATCAATCCCTTTACAGATCTAATTATATGTAACCTATGACCTGCATCATACAGTCATTTGATTCTAAACTTACCGTGGAGAGAGGCGGCAGCCCTTGTTCAGGTAGCCCTGGAGTTTTCCTGCAGCAGCCAGCAGGAGACCAAAGTATGGAGGAGAAGGTTTGATGGGTCTGGAGGTGAACTCTGGATGGTACTGCACTCCAACAAAGTAACAATGATCTGAAACAACAAAGACCAGTCAATTAACACGGACATATTAACCTGCTACACGATGCTCGGTACGGTACACCACAGTCAGCATATGACACACGGCTGACATATTTACCAAAGAAGGACATTTGAGGCAAAGCATGTCTAAGAAACAGTGGAGATGCAGTCCACGTGTCAAACTGTCTTTTGGCAAGACACTGAAGCCCAGACTGCTCCCTTGGGAGTGTGCATGTTTATTGCTCCTGATGACCAGGTGGCAGCTTGTATGGCAGCGTCTGCCAGTGTGTGAATGGGCGAGTACGTGTTGTAAAGCGCTTCGAGTGGACACTAAGATTAGAAAAGCGTTACCCCGATCATTAGCAACAGCAGGTGGACGCTTGTTTTCAATAACACGCACCCTCCAGTTCAATGACCTCCATTCTCTCTCCTTCCACATCCTGGCCGACAAACCGAAGACCCTTTTTCGCAAAGTGGTGCTTCAGCTCCGGGTTCACCTAGAATGAGCAATGGTTCAAGGATTCAGGAAAGGTTTCTGAGAAAGAAGGTTACGAGGTATGCATTTGTTTCGTACTCTCATACAAAAAGGTTTTAGAAGCTTGTTTTACCTCAAATCGGTGCCTGTGCCTCTCATCAACGTATTCCACGCCTCCGTACAGTTTTCCTAGAACAATGAGATATCAAGTCAGCAAAAAAACACAAGCTGGAGTGATCAAACAGTCCACCATTAACTCTACGAGGATACATACTCAGTACACTCGTGCCGGATTTGAAAATAGTCCGCCTCTTCCCCAACCTCATAGTCCCGCCCATCTCCCCTGGGTTGTGCTCCGGCATGTCAATCACCTGTCGAGATCAAATAGGGTTTTAAAACCATTCTGGTAAAGACTCGGCTGGTATGATGGGATATGAGCTCTGAAGAGAAGATAACCTACCACAGGGTGAGCGGATTCTGGATTGAATTCTGTGGAGTTGGCATCTGAAAAAGATGAGATAAGTGAAACTGATCTAAGCTCAACGTCCCACCAGGTCTACGGTTCTTTCATCATTCAATTAGAAACCATAAGAACACATTTTAACAGTGTCACCAGCTGATCTGTGCAATTACTCACCTTCCCATCCGAGAACGTTGCGGGCGAACTCGCACACTGCCAGCTGCATGCCCAAACATACTCCTGCACAAACCAAGAGCAGCAGGATGAGTGCACAATGAGGGCTATTGTAAGGAGTCATACATTAAGACATGTAAGCGGTTTGCACAGTGGGGGTCACGGCAGCATTTGAAAGTGATTATTTTAAAGTCATTGTGTGATGTTTAAGTGATGCAATTTAGCTTTTTTTTCCTCATAAAGGAAAAAGAAAATAGATTGTTCTCATTTTGACATTGAAGAATCTGAATTATGTACAAAAATAACACAGAAAGTAACTAATTTCAGCTTTGAATCTCACATAAAGTAAGTGCTGTAACATTGTATATACCTGAACACAGCGTGTTCTCAGTTGGTGGTTTGAGTTCTGGACTCTGATGTGCCAATCAAATCCACAATTTTCATTCTGTGTAGCTGTATATTGCAGAATAACCGCCTCGCAGACGTGTCCCTCCGCCAACCAGTCAAGTTGCAGTTTACATCCATGTGCGTCCAAAATGTCATCACTTATCTAATCAGACATTTGTGTGAAATTGTCATGTCAATACTTGAGTTATGGCCAAAAACGTGTTCTGTGAGGTTACAGTGGCCTTGACTGTTGGACTCGAGTGTGAACTGATTAGATTTATAGACCAAGTGGACGTTTGTGCCAAATTCAAAGAAAAGTCCCTCAATGTGTTCCTGAGGTATTCATTCACGAGACGGTACGTACGGACAGACAGACAACCCAAACACATAATGCTTCATAATCATAATAAGATCAAACAGGTCGAGGGTCTCTACAGATACAGAGACGCCAAACACTTCAAGTGGGTTTAAGTGATGATTTAGAGGGAGCTTTCATGTTTTTTAGCAAAGTCCTGCAGAGCAAACCTTTAATATCAATTGATGAGGTTTCAGTTTTGTAAAATATGACAAAGTCCAAAGATGCACATTAGCTATTCGTTTAGCCGTCTAATCCAGTGATGCAAATATGAAGCTGCACACCAAATATGAACATGTCTTAAGCAACAGTCGACACATTTGAGGGTCTAGTTCTCATCAGGTTTGATGATTGCATGTCATTTACAATACGACATCACTTACCCAGGAAAGGCTTATTCTGTTTCCTCGCCCAGTTAATAGCGTGCATCTTGCCTTCTGTCCCTCTCACACCAAAACCTCCGGGTACCAGCACACCACTGTGGGGTGGAAGGAAAGAGTGATAGCCTCGGTTCATTTTAGAAACAAGTCCAGATTATCTTTGAGGCAAACCTACACAATATAAAAACACCTGCACACCTTTAGACACATTATTGATAAAAAGTGTTATGACTGAATAACTAAAAGACAGCCCCAAGAGGTAGAATTTAAGACGAGTTACAGCAGATTTAGTAAATCACAGCGATCATTCGACTAGACGCCGAGTACAAAAATGGGATTTTTTTGCAAAGAAAGACATAAAGATGTCTGGAATTTAAGGTGATGCTGACAATGAATGTGAATTCATATTTGTATGGAGGCTATTCTTTATTCTTCACAATGGGAGAAACTCCCCCATGGCACTAACTACTTCCTGCTGATCTATGTATAGAAATCCTCCGTCTCTACATGTTCGGAGGGGCAAAATGCTGGACAGCTATTGTAACAGCCATCGGGTAAGCTAGTTCAATAACATACTAATGGCTGCTGGACTTAGGTTGATATCTAGCAGACATCACTTTGTATTGGCAAAACTTTGTGGTAAGAAATAATTGCTCATAATCTGATTAAGCGACACCGGCTTTCTTCTTACTCTGGCCCCATGAGAATGCCTGCTTGAGAATGGCTACAGGACTCAAACATACTACTCCCCCCCCCTCCCAGTACATTGCAGGTGTAATCTATACACGAACATGTAATAAAACACTGTGAATTCCTACAAAACAAAGAAGTCATTGAGCATTTTATAAAGCTGCTTAAACCACTGGGCCTTACAGCGCTCTGCTGCCATCATGTGGCGTACTCTATAAGAAGCTGTGTAACTATAGTTTGTCTACTCACTGAGCACTGCAGAGTCTCTGCCAGGCCTCATGGTATTTCACGGGCTCATCTTGCAGAGTGGCAACCTCTAGGTCTGCAGAGTCTATGTACTGCAATGAAGACACAGCGTGTTAGCCAAGATGTTGCTCTCTGTCAAAATGCTGCTACTCTTTAAATATGGGTAAACATTAGGTATTATGCCAGTTTTACAAGCGTTCTGTGACAACTGATAATACAATCTGCAAAGCAGTGTTGCAAAATCCACAAATCAGTTTACAAACATAAAGAACTGGAACTGATTCCATACCTTGACCTCTAGTTTGTGATTAACTGCGAGGGCCGAGTGCTCCAGGGCCTTGATGACGGAGGTGTAGGAGTCGGATAACTTTGTGTATTTCCCCACCAGGGCTATAGAGACATGCTCCAAGAGACGGGCAGATCTGAGGAGAGAGCAAGATGATTTACAAACTGTTCCATAACTGTAAAGGTAAATTATTTGTTCCTTACAACCCTTGAGCAAGACACAATGTAGGAAAGGGTTAACGTCCTCACCTGTCAGCCATCTCCTTCCACTTTGTGAGCATCTTTCTGGGCCTCACCTCGATGGGCAGGCTCAGCCGCTGGCAGAGGTAGCTCATAACCCCCTGGTCCTCCAGCAGCAGGGGCACTCTGTAGACCGAGGAGACGTCATGGACACAGATCACCTGGAAAGAATGACAAAACATGTTATCCGTCTTTATGTTTTAAATTGATAAAAAAGGACGAGCGATGTCAACATTGACTTAAGAAAATCAAATATAATCTGATCCATCTGATACTCAACATTACAATTACATGAATCATGTGTATACTACTGTTGAGTTGTGATGGCATTTGTGATACTTTTTACTTAATCTCTTAAGATATTCAACATTTGAGGCTGCAAGTTCTCAAAATACATGCTGGAGCTTTGTGTGCAGCTAATGCCACATTCACCCATCAGACAATAATTGAATCAATATCACCCAAATTGATACCAGGTCAGATTGTTTGTTGTCACTGTACTTTACCTGTGTGGGCTCTACGTGACAAAACATGGAGATCTTCTCCTTGACGGACGTCTCTAGAGGCGATGAACAGCGGCACATGATCTGCAAAGGACCAATATGTTTGTTTTTAAAACGGGACGAGCGTATAACAGGCATGCAAACTAATCAGGGATGACCATCGGGATTCAAAACAGAAAATTCAGCTGAAAGGCGTCACGTTTGCATGACTGGTATAGTCTCAAAGGTTACCATATAAATACTGTTGGAACCATGATGCAGTTTGTTTGTTTTATTGTATGTTTGAAGGAAACACAAGGTGAATGTATACATGCAGTTCTGACATTGAACACAACGTTGAGCATTAATGTAGAAGTGAATATAAGTGCCTGGTGATGAGAATCAGGTGTGTGGGACGGGAAGCTAACAGCTTCTGACCGTGACATATCCTGTCGTGTCGTGTTGGTGTCAGAGTGTGACTGGCATGCTCAGATTCATCGGCAGGAATAACATTAAAAAATGCTGATTTAATGCTGTGGTGACAATGTGAAAGGGAATAAATGCATCCAAAGAGATACAGTGCACTAGACAGTGATTTGTTTGTAGCCAAGAGCACGTGTCCGAACAAGTTTTCCCCTCAGTGCCGTACATTTTGCCGTAGATTTGATTTGATTGTGTACAACATAAGATGAATACATAACCAAGAATTATTGGATATAGATTTTCTACACATACAGGAGAGGCCTTGCCTGTTTACATCTGTGGTGCAGAAGGGAATGCCAAGTTTTAATCTAACTCACCAAATCTGGAGACAAGCCAAGCCCTCTGAGTTCTCGAACACTGTTCTGTGTTGGTTTGGTTTTCTGCTCTCCTGTGGTATTGGGCTGAGGGCACAAAAGTCAAATTGTAGCTTAAATGTGTGCGACAGATAAACCAGTGGGTATTCTCTAACCCCTTCTCCTTCAATTAAAAAAAAAAAAAAAAAAACTGAATAAAGCAGACTTGGACCTACTTCACTTGTAAGAAAATTCAACGCGACATGCGTGTGTTCACTGCTGTGTCATACCTGTGGTACCAGGCTGACATGGATGTTGCAGAAGTTCTCCCTCTTCACCTTGAACTGGAACTGCCTGAAGGCCTCGATGAACGGCATGCTCTCAATGTCCCCCACTGTGCCTCCCAGCTGTTGACACACAACCCCAGCTCATACCATAGAACTGAATGCACAAAACAAACAGGTTGGTTCTCACCAACTTATATAACCGCCACGCCCGTAGAAAGTAAAAATGTCATTAGCTGTACTGAGCTAATAAAACTTTCAGCGCTGGTCAAGATTTATGTCATGAGAAAATAAAAGCTGGAGACCGGGTAATAATTCAACTCCATTTATGAAGATTTGGTTCGTTTCAACTGCAAATATACAAAGGATGATCTACTTCTACTGTGTATGCTATCAAACAAATAAAATACTTTGTTTTACTGTCGGGCTAGCAGAGGAGTATGGATTTACAGACTCCACAGCAAATACATTTTTTTAATCCACAAATTTTTAGTGTTTTTCAAAATATTGTTTCTGCTTTGCTGACGGACCCATTTGTGCAAGTTCAGCAATTTCTCTGCTTGCTGAATGGTGCTATTATTTTCTATCGCTTCAGGCAACACATCTAATTTCAATGAATGCACTAATAATTGGTCACAAATCGCTTAAGAGTTGCCGAAATATATGATACTTATGACGAAGAATCTTGTTTCACCATTTACATAAAATCCCTGCTTGATGAGAACAGATACAAGTACCTACAAGACCGACTTACCTCAATGACACAAACTTGAGGCTCCACGCCATCATCATCTACTGAGATCCTGGCCTGCTTCATCACCCACTCCTGGATGGCATCTGTGATGTGGGGTACCACTGGAAACAGATTTACAGAATAAAAGAGATATAAAACTGATCACTGCTTATTGAACATACTTGTGTAGAAGAATACAGCAAGTGTGCTTCTCTGCGGCCAAAAGTGGGGTTGCAGAATTTAGGGTCATGGGAGGGGCTTCCATGTTCTGTAGCAGGTCACTCACCTTGTACAGTCTTGCCCAGGTAGTCTCCCCTCCTCTCCTTGTTGATGACAGATTGGTAGATCTTTCCAGTGGTGAGGTTGTTGTCTTTGGTAAGACAGATGTCTAGGAAACGCTCATAGTTCCCCAAGTCCAGATCCACCTCACCGCCATCATCGAGAACAAAAACTTCACCTGCACCACACAGACATAACATCCATTTACCTTAGGGTTAGTGAATACTAGTGAAAACTGACAATAACAACCATCTATTGTATGGAAACAGCTTGACCCACTCAACGACATGGTCCGTCTAACCAAAAGGACACATTAAACAGCAGGTGATACCTCAAACAAGTATAAAAGTTTGTCGGAAGCACTCGATCGCTCACCGTGTTCATATGGTGAAAAGGTGCCGGCATCAATATTGATGTATGGATCGATTTTGATGGCTGTGACATGAAGGCCGCAGGACTTGAGAATTGTCCCCACGCTGCTGGCAATGATGCCCTTTCCAATACCAGATATAACACCACCGGTAACCAGGATGTACTTCATAGTGGCATGCGAAGACTGGAAACAAGACAAAAAAAAAAAATCTGAATTTGTCCTACTATTGTGCCCATGCTTGAACTTGTTCAACCACACATGAGATGAATGATGCAACACAGACAATGTGAGTGCTCTATTGCCAATGTCAAACTCTATTTTACAACTTATATTCCTCTGTTGTAACATTACAATATCATGCATCAGCAATAGAAAATATTAAAATCAGTCAATATTAATGCGTTTTTAAACTTGGGAGAGGTGCGAATACCGCTTTGTTTACATCTGGATCGCGCCCTCACGTTATCCAGACACATAACGCATGGTGACATTGAACGGGTAGATCCGACAAAAACCATAAGGAGGTACGTTTTAAAGCAGATCTTACAACTACTGCACGTTTAACATTGAGGTTAACCACATTATCTGAAATGCAATGGCGGGAAATACAAACAACCCAACAAGCCCGCTCATATGAAGGAGGAGGCTCCCGCGAGTCCAACCATCTTGTCATTGGATGCCAACACGTATTTCTAATAAAGCACATAAGCTCACACGAAGCTGTTGATGTGGTGTGGACGGGGAAGTTTTGACGTAGCTTAGCTATTGTTCCACAAACTGCTGCAAAGACTGCTGTCACCAGTTTTGCAGGCTGACTGTTAACTTTGCGTCGTTGTCCATGCGAAATGTTAACAACAACGAAGTTAAGTTAATATGAACCGCCTGCGTGGCTTACACAGCTAACACGCTACAGTTAAACTAGCTAACGTTAGATAATTGTGACCATTTTATCAACGACACACTTCGCAGCATCATAAACGGACTCTCGGGTACACCACGTAAGCCTCGTAATACCACACAAAACCTACCTTACGGCAAAAAGAGAAAGACGTTGCTATTGTTTCGCATCAGTAACTGTTGTGAATTCAACCGTCTCCCCGTCCCCCCTGCAGTAGAACCACGTGTTCTAAATCAGTTTGTGTCCTTCCGTTTCAGTTGACAGTAGGGTATTTTATGCCCTACTCTTAGCCTCTCAGGCAGATCACAGTCTGCCGCCGCCACAGGATCCACCAATCAGGTGGACGAATGTCAGGGTTAGGTTACCGAGGAAGGCATACCTGTATTTGTGTGATACTCGGATATCAGAGGAAATAGTCAACTTTTCTATTCAACTCTCTTTAACCGCCAATATTACAATGTTATATTTGGGCCTAGTTGTTGCTCCTTGGGTCATCAAAACTGCTGCTGGTCTCATCGAGTCTGTTTTGGGACTTAATGGTCCCAGTTCAACCTCAGTGAAACCAGCAGAAACTGTGCTCCATGAACCACCACCAGCTCAAACAGACAACAGAAGCTTCAGTAACCTCAGGTTGCTACATCAGAATGTCCACTCATTCATAAGTCACAATCCCACTCATCCCAGTACCAGAGAAGATCTTGCCGTTAACTACAGGGTCTGTCACCGATGTCAGGTTTTACTTGGCCCCAGTTGAACCCCAGTGAATCCATGCATCAACACAAGACAACAAGACTCAAACACAGTGGTCCACAATCTTTATTCCACCACGGAGAGGTTTCATGTAAAACAATATTTTCACGGACCGGCCTTCAAGGTGTGGCGGAAAAAAACACCCCTCTCTGACTTTGGTGTGGTACCATGTGTGGCAGACATTTAAAATAATCATCTTCCTCATCCAGCTCCTCGTCCCAGCCCACACACATGGTGTGATACCATGTGTGGCAGCTGTCACACTGGACCCACGACACCAATCCCTCTGAGCTCTCGGGAGGGTCAGGTTCCCGGCACCAGCCACACTCCCAAACTGTCTGCTCCATCTCTTCAGAAGTGTGACCTATTGAAATATTTTTTTTTTACTTTGAATTAAAGAAAATGATCAGATTTTCATGGGTTGGCATACAATGAAAGTTTACATGAAGTACACTACCGGTGGATGTCGTGGGTCCAGCAGACGAGGAGCTGGATGATGTTCGGGTCTCTGCAGGTTGGGAGGCTGTATAAATAACAGAAAAAGCATAACCGTGCTTTGTTTACTCTTCATCAGCACAGCACTTAACTGGTTTGAATCCTACTTGAAGGACAGAGAATACTTTGTGTCTGTAGCTAATTACACATCAGAGCTGACTAAAATGACGTGGTTTTCCCCAAGGTTCAATACTGGGGTCTCTTCTGTTCAACATCTACATGCTTCCACTAGCTCAGATTATGGAAAACAACAAAGTGTGTTTTCATAATTATGCAGAGGACACACAAATCTACATAACTATGTCACCAGGGGACTATAATCCCATAAAAGGGCTGGGTAACTGCATTGAACAAATCAACAGCTGGATGTGCCAGAATTTTCTTCAATTAAACAAAGACAAAACAGAAGTAATTGTTTTTGGTACCAAGGACGAACGATTAAAAATCAGCGCTCAGCTTCAATCACTGACGTTAAAAAACACAAACCAAGCCAGAAATCTAGGTGTTATGGATTCAGACCTCAACCTGAACAGCCATATCAAGACAATTACAAAATCAGCCTACTATCACCTGAAGAATATATCAAGGATTAGAGGATTTATGTCTCAACAGGATTTGGAAAAACTTGTCCATGCATTTATCTTCAGCAGACTGGACTACTGTAACGGTGTGTTTACAGGTCTCTGTAAGAAGCCTGTCAGAAAGCTGCAGCTGATTCAGAACGCTGCAGCTCGAGTCCTCACTAAGACCAGGAGGGTGGATCACATCACTCCAGTTCTGAGGTCTTTGCACTGGCTACCTGTCAAACAAAGAATTGACTTTAAAATCCTACTGTTGGTTTCCAAAGCACTGAATGGTTTAGGGCCAAAATATATCTCCGATCTGCTGCTACCTTATGAACCATCCCGACCCCTTAGGTCGTCTGGGACCGGTCTACTTTCTGTTCCCAGAGTCAGAACTAAACATGGAGAAGCAGTGTTCAGTTTTTCTGCTCCACATATTTGGAACAAAGTCCCAGAAAGCTGCAGGTCTGCTGAGACCCTCAGCTCCTTTAAATTGAGATTGAAGACTTTTCTGTTTGCTGCTGCCTTGATAAAATAATAAGAGAAAATTATAAGTATACTACTGTTGAGTTGTGATGGCATTTGTGATACTTTTTACTTAATCTCTTAAGATATTCAACATTTGAGGCTGCAAATGAAGCAAACGTAATTCAAGGTCAATGTAAGCAAAATTTATTGTAATATGTAGTAATACTAACTTGACTTCAGATCTGATACTGTACACACATGCAATCCACCCTAGACTGATCCTGACTACATATATAGTCTATAATATATAGTTTATATATATTTTGTGGTTTACTGTTTTCCTTGCATGTATTGTTTACATTTTGTATTTGTACCATTTGTTTTAACCTTATTGCTAATGTATATATTATATTATATTGCCACTCCCACTTTGCATTGTAACTGCTGGAAAGCAATTTCGCTTGGGATTAATAACATTTTATCTGCCTTATTGAAACATTATGAATATTTAAGTTGTCATTTTCTTGGACAGTTAGCTGACATCTTTGACATCTTTGTCCATGAATGTTCATGGACATATTTTATAATATCATCATACATCATTATTCTAATTTAATTGTTTTACTTTTTTTTACCTATACTTTAAAATATCTCAATTCTTTTTTTTAATCATTCTTATCATAATTCTGTCACCTCCTATTCTTTTATTTGTTCATCAGTTAATTTGTTAACAGCTTCACCACTAGATGGCATGTAAGTTCTATGTTGCATTTTCAGCATATTTCTATGCCAAATTGAGCTTTTAACATAGTTATTCACACATATTGAACCTTGTGACTTTGAAGGGGTAAATAAGGCATCAGATGAAAAATAGCCTTTTGGCTAACTCTGGCGCATTTGCAGAAATGTTTTTATTAATGTGCACTGTCCCGTTCAGATATAGCAACACAGAGATTGATACTGTTGTAAGCACTGATACCCTTAAAGTTTACGGTTTGGCCAAGTAAGGCAGTATACGAAATAGAGCAATGGTCCCTCGTAACCGCATTGATACAGTAATGCTGTCTGTGAGATATTAAAGTTTTTCTTCGTGTATTCACTGTCACGCTGCTCCAGTTTTGCTGTAGGTAATGAGAGTGGTGATTCTAATTCCTTTCTGTCCATGATCTTGATCTAATTAAAGACCTCATCCCTGCCACCTCATTTTCATAAGCTGTTCCCTTCAATTACATCTGACAAGTGAGCACAGACACACATTAACCTCCTGCATGAAGAGGTACTGTGCTTCCCTCATCTCCTCTGCAATATTGAAATCACAGAGAGGGCAATTCAAAGGTACTTCCACCTCCTTGAATACACATTTTTGTAAAACACGTGAGTGGATGGCAGTGCATGGTATTAACCACCTTCAATATGTTCTAGTTTTCAGATACAGTGACAATATAGTGCCATGTTCTGCAGTGTTTCTTGGCCGTTAATGATTGTCTATATAATGCTTTTTTTTGCCTTCCACAAAGTGCAAGATAAGCCAATGAGTCTGGAGAGATATGAATACTGAAATAAATGTGGAGCTCATACAAGATTGATTTACTTTGCTACTATCAAAATGGACATAACATCTTGCCAGATGTGTCAGTGACTGCAAAGTCTAAATACAAAGTGACGTGTTCATGGGCTCTTAAAAAATGTTTTTGATGTAATAGTTTGTCATTTTGCGAAATATGCTTATTTGCTTTTCTTTATAAGGGTTGCCGCTGCACTTGGCTGCTGTTTGCCCTGAAATATTTTTTATTTATTTTTACAATCAACACTTGAAATGATGAAGACACTTGCAAATGACAAGGTAGTACAAAATGTAAACCAGACTTTGGTGTTTCATTTTTACCTCTTTACTTAAATATTTGAAATATTTAACTCCCCTTGAAAATGCAAAAGAAATACTTGTTTTCTGTTACCATAGTCTATAATAATTGACTAATGCTAATGGAGCTAATGCGAAGGAGTTCTAAAAAATAACTCTAAAATATCTTGTCTGTTTTCACTCACATTTCAATGTATCTTCCTTTTCTTCTCTCTTAACTAATTATTATGTTTTAGGAGTAGTAACTGAACATCTGTACTACTCTATATTAAAATGTAACTTCACCCCCAGGTCTGAGCCTGAGAAATGAAACCACGCCCACTTCCATTTGACAAAAGCCTTGATGCATCAATGACAAATATGACAGCTACAGTAGCATGGAAAATAGCAACATGGCATGGGTGATTGAATTTTGATGAATGGACTGTTTAACATGACAAGAATTTACCCTGCGGTCGCTCCGCTTCACTCCTTCACTACTTTGCCGGGAGAAGAGCGGGCAACAGCTTTGGAAACAAAACAGGGACCCATTGCTGCCTTTGGCCCCAAGCCCGTAGTTCCATAGTTCCAGTGATTTTCTGCAACAAGTGTAACATTAGCATGAAACATGGTGGCATTAGCAAGCTAACATTGGCTAGCTAACTAGCCAGAAACTAAATGAGAAAAATTAAACAACTTAATGCTTCATCGGCACACTCGATTATCTTTTATCTACTCTTTTATGATGGCGTTTTAATCCATTTTTGACCATGAAATGCAGATTTTTATGAATTTTGTAAGAAATGTCTATACAAACATTAGCATTGAGGTGTTTCATCAGTCATATCATTAATTAATAGTTTAAAAACACCTTTTATAGTGCAGTTACTGTTTAAAATAAGACCATATATTGCATGTAATGTAATGGTATAAGAATAAATGAAACTGGTTCATAACAAACATTTTAATAAAAATAAAATTTCCACACGGAAGGAGGATAGAAACTGTTTTTTCTTCACCTCCCCCCTATGACGTTTGATAGCACTGGGGTCAGCTGTCATGAGCCGCTTCACTCTCCCAGACCTCCAGTAGGCTGGAGAGGTCCAAGTCCCGGCTCAAAT